TAAAAGATAAAACTAATAGAGCCAATTATTACTCATATTTTTAAGTATTGTATACTTTCAATACAACAACAATAACAAAAATAATTCGTAATAAAAGCTCCACTAAAAATTAATCAAACAAATCAATATAGTCCATTTTTAAACACTGTACATTTTTTATATATTTCATGCTCTCTTAATACAGTAATAAGCAATGTATACTACAACAGTATGTATGCTATTGGTACAACAATAAGCAAATAAGCAATCTATGCTACAACAATATATGTGCTGTTGGTGCAACAATAAGCAATGTATGTTCCTTGTAAAAACAATAAACAATGTTTTTGGTGCGACAATATGCAATATATGCAGTTAGTGCAACAACAACAACAACAACAACAAATTTTCAACAAAAATTTTGCAACAACAATAAAAATCTAAAATGAAACGAACAATTGTAGGAGCAGTTGAATTATCACCACAAACATTCGTTGTTGTTGTTGTTGTTGTTGTTGCTATTGTATTTCCTTCTCGTCGAATAGCAGTCGTATTTACCATGCAAACAATTGTAAAACTAAGATCATTACGCATACTATAAGTAACAATACCCATTAAACAAGCAACAAATGATAAATTTAATCGTGCTGAACAGAATAATCCTGCAAATTCAATGAAATTATTGAAATTTACAAAAGCATCAATTTTACGATTATTAGGTAAATAAGATAAAAATAATTTAAGTAATTTAAAATTAACAAAATAAACTAGTTTAAAATATTTCTCCTGTTCAACTTAGATTTTACAAGAATACTGATTGGATAATTAAATGAATACTTAAACAAATGAAATAGGTAGCACTTAACTAGAAAATAATATATGCAAATTCTTCATTAGTGTTATATTGCTGAACGAATTTAATGTTTAGCAAAAAAAAAAAAAATATGGAAGTAATTCATATTATAATTTCCTATTTGAATTTCAAATAAAATGTGCACTTGCCATAATTATTAGAATCATCAGAAGTAGACTGCTTTATGGAAGAAGTCATTGTTTAATGAAATTAATAAACGATAAGAATAAATATGACAAATATTTGATGTCAATAAAAAATTTCAACAATATGCAAATAATTCATTTTTTGCAAGAGTATAACATTTGCTGCTGGCAAATGAAAGAATGAAATGGCTTAAGAATGAAATACATTGGATTAGAAATATAATTTAAAACAACAAAAATGGAATTTTAATAAACAGAAAATGAAATAATTGAAATAATAACGTTGTCGTTTCGTTTCAAATTATAACTGCTTAATTAATTCATTAGCTACGAATTAATGTACATGTTATTATTTCTATTTTTCCATTTGCACATATTATTCGATTAATATTTTATTTCAAAATTTAACAACAATTGAATAACCAAATTTTAGATAATATACAATGAGAACATGAAAAGTATAATTATATACTCAAATTTTTGCAAAATAATTATACAAAAGTATTTGATATCATAACAGTAATTGTTATTATTAATTTATTTTATTAGCTTTTGCAGATTAACTAACTTATCATTGTTCGTAATTTACACTAAAATTTACGTGTAAATTATGAATTTACACTTATTATTTTATTACATTATTTTATTACACTTCATTACACCTATTATTTTAACGAAATTTTTTGAGCTTATTTTGCATAAAATTACATATTTATGCTATTATAGAAAAGATTGGAATAAAAATATTTTTTACCGATAAATTTTAACGTATACGTTTACTTTCATGAAATTCAAATAATTTTAGCAATTTGTTATTCATTTAAAATTTTTGAATGAATAATAAATTGCTAAAATTATTCAATAATTAATGAATTCTTTTACATTGCTAATTTTTATTATAATAGAAAATAATTTTGAAATGAAATTTTTTTTTGCACGTTTCCTTTTCCTTTGTTCTTTTTAATGAAAAATAAATCTGCAAAAGTGCACGATAATCGATGATCGTTTTGATAAATAATCATTTAGCAGTTATTTCAAAAAAAAAAAGAGATAATCATTTAAATTGTATGTTAGAATTATCACAGATAACCGATAATTGGGATTAATTAAGGGTAGATATAACTAATAGTTAATACTATATGATTATGAAGAAGAATTAGCTAACTGAACATGAATGATTGTAAGTTATAATTTGTTTTAATTTCATATTTGTACAAATATAATTATCATTTCAGAATGATGACTAATAACAGAAGCGCATAAATCTTACGTGATAGTTTTTAGTAATTGTGTATGTTTTTTAGATGACCAACTAAATAGGCGGTGTAAATTATTGTGATAAGTAAATAAGTGATAAAGATAGATATGATAAGAAATAATTTTAAATTGAGAATAAAGTTAACGATTATGTTTTTACGTACATATGTGAATGGATATATTCGATTTAGAAAAAAAAAATGATAACAGAAAGAAATACAATGGTTTTTGTGAATGTAAACTTTAAAGATGAGAATTAAATTAAACATTACTAAAATAATTGAATTGTTCAAATTCATGTAAATAATAAAAATATTGTTTATTTTGCTAAAATAATGATAAAATTTTAACAATAAAAGATATATGTTTAAGCATTTTAATTGTAATTTGCTCATTCATTTTTTTTCTTCCTTTAAATTAAAAATAACAAATTGAAATATTTCTAAATTAAGGTTTCATTTCATCAAATTTAAATGCATATGTATTTATATTTAAGGCATTTTAATTTATTTGAATTTTTTTTAGACACTGGCTTTGCTAGTTTTGTTATTGGGGCAGCCATTATGGCTTCTATTTTTTATCGGATTGCAGAATTTCAAAAGGTATTCAAGTTTAGTGAATTTTTCAATCTTAGTTATTTTAAGCAAAAAAAAAAACAAAAAACAAAACAGTTACAAATGGATAAAATTTATTAGATAAAATTGTTGGTATGTTTTTGCGAGAAATTATGAAATGTAATGCCTTAATATTATTTTGTCGTAATTTTTTGCAGTAAAGGAGAATACATCGATGAAATATCGTTGGAATCACGACGAAATTCAGAATGCTTCTATCGTTACATCAAAAGAGATCATCATCAAAGTTTTGCGGAATGGCTACATAAAAAAAATTCTTCTCATTATACGCCAATTGCACCAACCTATCAACAATCGTTGTTAAATTTACAGGTTACAGTAAATTTTAATGCTGATGTTTTTTTTTTCATTTCATTTCATTTCATTTCTGAAACAATTCCGTAAGTATCGATATTGTTTGCAACTTCTTTTTCACTTTAACATCAATTCGTTATACATTCAAGTGAAAACTGTAACGAACAGATATACCTAAATGATAGAAAAAAAGAGGTAATTAACGAAAAATGTTACCTAAATGATAAATAAAGGGGTAATTTACCTGAATTATTAAATTGAATTTGAAAAAAAAAATTGTCCTAGAATATACTCTTGGACGATTTTGTAATGAAGAAAATTTTGCAAATGGACAACTTTAGGCTCATAATATTTATTATTAAAAAAGAAATGTAAATAAATATTTCTTAAAAGAAAATAAAAAATGTATGAAAAAAAAAAAGATAATGGAAGGGAAATGAGCTCAGTTTTTTCTTTTTCAGACAAATGGCTGAAAAAAAAATGAGCCAAAATTTGGTGCCGAGCGAAATGGATTTAATTTTTACCTGACATTTTTCCTTTTGAAATAAATGACTTTCGGAAAAATATTTCTTGACCAATAAATTATAGAAATTTAGTTTTTTTTCCATGCTAGAAGAAAAATGACATTTTGTTTCTGTGAGCGGAACAAAAATTGCTGCGGAATTTAAAGTTCATATCGTTGCAAGTTCATCGTTTATAAAATGAGCTTCTTCTAAAAATTTTAAAGATTTTTGTCATCGGTGATCTTTGAAATTTTTTTTAACTGAATGTTACTCAGCACACTGATCATTTGTTTTAGTTAAATGCATTGAAAGATGGAGAACAGGTAACGCATGGAATTGCCGACTGTGAAATACCGGAACTGCCGAAAATAACACCGGATATACCGCTGAGAGAACGTGCATTGTGCCATTTCGAATATTTTCTTAATTATAATCCATTGGTATGCTTAAGGATATGCAATTTAATTGAAATTTAGAATTCTAAAAGTTTAGAATAAACTTTAAGCCATAGTTAATGTGTTATTTCCCCGGTTAGAAATGTTCTTTCGGGATGATTATGAGAATAATTTCAAATTCCGGCGTTAGCTATTTGTTGAAATTGGCCTTAATACTGGCAATGGACTGTTCAACATTTAATTATCTTATTTGCTTAATTTCAATGCTTTCTTAATTATCGTCTCGTTCATTTACTAACTCCATCAGAAGAACTATATATCTATATAGAAATGCCAAAGTAGATGAGAGAAAAGATGGGATAAATTCAAAACTGAACGAAAATCCGAAAAACCGGACGGGTCACCTTCAATAATTCGATAATTCCATTTCAAATTGATAAATATCCTAAACATCACCGGTAAAATATGTTTTACACTTCGATCGATCAAACAAGCAAACATTTTCAGAAAATGCAATTCACAGACAATAACAAATAATTTTTTCCACTCCCAATGTTTCCAAATATTTTAAAGGCACTCCGCAATTAATCATTTAATCATTTCTTTTCCTTTTAAATCGAAATATTCCTTTCTCTTAGGAAAATCTCAGGAAAATCAGGAATGAATGACCTGAAATGTTATTCCGGAATCGAATCACTTCCAAATGATTCAGGGCAGTTTTAAAAAGGTTTAACTTTATTTGTGATATTTTAAGAGAGTACCGGCGGCACTGACGGAAGTACGTTGCATGTGCGCGCATCCGCCGTCCAAAATGATCGGTAAGCGAATCTTTGAGTGTGAGCCGCTTCGCTATCAAATTCGCGTGCTAAAATTTGATGAACTGTGCCAAACGTATTCGGAACAAATTGAAATAATCACTTTAGCATGTATACCTGTGCTACAAGTAGGTTAATATATTGTATACCTGACCTTTGCTACAGATGGATTAAACTATTTTCAGTTTACTGAAATCGATTGGTCATTTTGCAAATTTTATCTTTTATTTAAAGAATGAATGATTCTTAGAAATACGAATGAAGAGATTTTTAGAGCAGTTAAATAAGACTGGTCTCTATTCTCGAAAAGAAAAGAAACAAAGTTCTAATTTCTATTCCGCATTTCCTTTTCTTTCAAACGGAATCTAATTTTTTGGAATCAAAATGGTTGATTTCAAATCAATTTCGATTTCAGGCAACTGCAAGAGCGGATGGTGAAATGAAATTTATGGTTCCGGAAAGATTTCAGGGTCCGATCAAGAAAAGATTCCGGTACGATTATGATGACTTTTATGATGAATAATTATTAACGATACTATCTTCCTCAATTTTTGTATTGCTACCTCACTAACTGCAAAATAAATATTCCGATGTTTATTTGTCATCACAAAAAATTCTGGCAGCGGTGCTATTGATGATTTGATATGTTAACCGATTCTGAATAATTATTTTAGAAGAGGCCTTTTTTTTTTTCGATGGATCGTTGAGCAAAGGTTAATTAAAAGGATGCAAGAAACTTGCACAATTTACTGATTGCATTCAAAGTTCACCTCTTCAATTTTCCATTTCAATCGGAAATTTTCGCTGTTTATATTTGTGAGATCAAATCAGAAATGATTTTAAAATCGATTTAACAAAATTGCATAATATTGTTTCAAAATTCACGAAAAAACATTAAAACTATATAATCTATATAATTTCTATATAAAAATCATATAATTTCTGAAAAGCACCAAAACAATTCTGATAAAAAAAAAAATTAAACGAATCATTGAATTAACAAATGAATCAGTTAGATCAACAAATGAATTCTTCGCGAAAAAAAAGTTGATGTCAAATTCGAAAAAGAAAAAATGGAATGGGAAAAATTAATGGGAAATGTAAAATTGTTAAATCAGTGAACACTAATGATATTGATTTTTACGCAAAAAAAATGTTTACTTAAAAAAAAAAATAAACATCAACAATAATAAATAATTTTATAACATTTGTAATCATAGAGATGAATAAAAAAAATTCAAGTTTTGCTCGTTTAAAAAATTTACAAAATTTACAAAAATTTATTCCAATTTGATCTTTGTCTTAGTTTTATCTTATCCGAGATAAATTTTTACTAATTACGATGAACTCTCCAATGTACTAAGCGTTTTTTTCTCCAATTCACAATTCACGTCTTTGTCAACGTCACCCAATGCCCACGGTTGTACTTCACCTTTGGCAAATAAACAGAAAATGACTGTACCGGTTAATAGCACTGCACCGGTTATCCAAAAAACTAATTGCCATTCTTCTTTTGAACCCTAAAATAAACTAAATGCTAATTAGTGTTTTTACAAAAGTTTGAAAGTTTGATTTGAAAAATTATCATTATCCAAATTAAAAACAAACAAAAAGCATTTGCTTTTTTTATCAAATCAATCAGTTTAAATAGGCAAAGATAAATTATGCATTTTATTTTTTAAGTTTGAAGTTAACCATAGTTCATGAAAATTCATAAAATTGAATTCAAGAAATGTAAAATTTACAAAAAAAAAAAATTAACAATATGCATGTGTGTGTTGTGTGTGCGTGTGTGTGTGTGTGTGTGTGTGTGTGTGNNTGTGTGTGTGTGTGTGTGTGTGTGTGTGTGCGTATGTATGTGCATGTGATAGACCAAAGAAAGCCATAAAATACACTAAAGATTACCGTTGGAGTAAGTTGGCCAACCATCAATGGGCCTATAATTCCAGCAATGCATGATATTGTATTTCCGATACCTAATATAGGTCCAGCAAATGTTGGTGCAATATCAAGATAATTAACCACAAAACCGGCATATTGTACTCCGGATAAGCCAATACCAAGAGTTAGAAATATGATTACCAGGGTTTCTTGACCACAGCCACAATAACCGCTAGCTATCAAAAATATACTTTGGCTTCCAAGTGCTGCAATTTCAGCAGTTATATTTTAAATAGTTCAAATTAATTTCCAAATTAAGTTACATTTTAAACAGTTCAAATTAATTCCTTCTTCATTCCTTCTCTCCCACTGAATTACATACATACACGTTATCTCTTAAGCTCAATCTGAAGTTAGATTGCTAAACTTTTCAAAACTAATATTATATCCAGAACGATTCACCTATAGAAATATTAAAATAAAAATTACCTATAAAAATATTAAAATAAACATTAAAAATTAGACCAAAATTAGTTGATTAGGTATGCTAAATATGTAAAAAATTATATGTAAAATTGAAGACAGATTGCTATTAGCTGCGTTATTACGCTTCATTTCCGCATGCCGCTGCCTGCTTGATTTCCGCATTACCACATCTTATTGATGTTATTTTTCATTAGTCTTCAATTGATCTGATCAAAGATAAATACCGATATATTCCAGTAACTCTTAAATGAAAAACTACCAATGATCATAGCAAGACGTCGAGTAGCTATAGTTGATAAGATATTAGCATTTTGCAATTTATCTGCGACAAAACCGCCCAAATTAATAAACATGAAGTATACAATGTACGGAATTGCTGTTAAAAATCCAAGCTAAAACACATTAATTTGAGAAATTTTTTTTTTTTTTATTAAAAATTGTTTTTTTTTTTCTTTCTGTATTAAACATTATTATTAGCTCATCAAATTATTTGTGCCAATAAATAATCGAGAATAGTTTGATAGTTCTATTTAAAAAAAAAAAAAAAACAGAACGACTGAAAATTAAACAGACCGAAGCGAAATCTAATCCTAAAACATCATTCATGAATAGTGGAAGACTGGTCATCATAATGTAAGCACCCCAATCACCGGCAAAATGACCACAGAATAATGCCCACACTGGAATTGACTTAAATATTGCAAGCCATGGAACTGCTTTTTTCTGAAATTTAAAAAAAAAAAAATTTTTTTTTTTTTTTTAAATCTGGAAAATGATTGAAAAATTGCAAACATCAAAAAGATTTGATTAAATTGATTCTTTTTCCTTATCGTTCTTCACTTGTCCAATTAATGCTCTGTTATTTTTTTTTATTTATTTTTTTGATATGAACTGTTTCAAATTTGCAAAAATTCAAAATTAATTAATGAGAAATATTTCAGAAAAAAGAAATTAATACCTTCCTGGAATTTGATGTCAATATATTAGGCAATGAATTTTCAATATAATTTAGCTCCCTTTTAGAAATGCGTTTACTACGAGAAGGTCGATCCGAAACATAGAAGAACCACAAAAGACACCATAAAATGCCAGCCGTACCTTTAAAAAAAAAAAATGTCTCGGAATCATATCAGAAATGAATTGTTCAAATTTGCAAAAAATTCGAAACAATTTCGTGCAATATGACTTTTACGCAGTTAAGTGAATTTTAAGAAATCTCTGAAATGTAGTTATAAATTTTCAAATTTACCGATAACATAAAAGATGGATGGCCAACCACCTGCAAATCCATACTTACAAAGTAAACCGGATAACGGCATTACAGCTGTATTACCGATTTGTGCACCTATAATATAATTTATTTCAAAATCAGTAATAGCAAAAAAAAATAATAATTTAAATTTATTTTTTGAAACAAATTATAAATTAAACGAAATTTTAATTAAAATAAAATTTTAATCCACTGCTACGTTTTATTAAAATTCAATTTATCAAAATTTTAATTAAAATGAAAATTTAATTCACTGTTAGATTTTTATTAAAATTCAAAAAAAAAACACATTATGATAATATGACAAAAAAGTTAAGTGTAAGCCGAAACCTGCATATGTTAATCCGGTTAATAAACTTCTTTCTAGCGGAGGTGACCACAGTGACCACATAGTATGGAATGCAGGAAATATAGCACCCTGAAATATTGAAGAAAATAAAATATATAAAAATATAAGCATAGCTTATGATAGTATGAATTAATCGAATATATTAAAAAAAATTACTTATACAACATAATTTACATATATAATTTAATATATATAACATATACATACTTGTAATTTACATATATTAGCATATACATACTTATTGTATGAAATGTAACAAATTTAAGTGAATAATAATTATAAATTAACTTGCTGAACGTGCTGCATTACCTGCATAAAACCTATCAAAACTCGTGCAATGATGAATGCAAAAACGCTAATTGTTGCAGCTAATGGACTGATCACTGTCAGAATTGCACTTCCTAAAACCGTAAAACCGATCACCAAACGAGCCCCATATCGACCGGCTAAATAACCACCAAGAATTTGGCTACATAAATAGCCCCAGAAGAATGCACTCAATACATAGCCTTGCTCACTTTTCTTCCAAACCAATTCGCCCATAATCTGAAATTAATTTAATAAAGAAATAAATAAATAATTAGGTACACTATCATATGCATTATTTTCTTTTATACAATGATCAAAGTTATCATTTTAGAGAAATAAATTTTAGAGAAATAAAATGGAATAAATTTGAAAATTTTAAAACTATTC